CTGGTTTTGGGATGCGGTAGGGGGAGGGGAGATTTTGAAGCTTGCCTAGAAACGTCAGCCTTTCTGCTCCTATGATGCTGCTTGGCCTGCTGTGTTCATCCAGCTCTGCACCTTGCTGTTAACTGATGATGGTTTGATCCTGCTTAGCCTTTCCCAAAGCAGAAGTAGTCAACCAGGCTAACTTAGTCAGCAAAAGCAGCAGGTCCCAAGCTCAACTGTCAATTGATGATGATGCTCGATATCAAATTTCACACCCCAGTTTTTAAATTCCCTCAGAACCTGCTCAGCTCCAGCTCTGTCTTCCCATTTTTTCCACCTCTAGCACGATAACTGGCAAAATCACCCCTAATTCTGGTCTCTTGCATTTGCTGCTTCCTTATTGGTCGTTATGCCTTCAAATATCTGGGCCCCAAGCTCCTGAGTTTCTTCCAAAATTTCTCTGACCTTCATCTCCCTGTCCTCCTCATAGAATCTCTTTAAAATCTACCTCATAAACCAAGACTTTGGCCACTTGTCTTAATATCTCCTCATGTAGTTCATTGTCATATATTGACAGTATCATGAAAAGCTTTTGGAAGCAGAAATGAGGCTGCAGGGATATTTAGTTGAGCAGGATATATAACATCAGCTTTCCAATAACAGTATGAGGGTTGGTTTTTAAGCTGGCAGAAAGGGAGCTGATTAGGTTTCCCTCAGGAAATTACGAGAAGTTACAATTAAAATTTGCGAAGAGAAAACACAAAGTCAAGCATCTTTACTTCTTGCATTCATCAGAACTGGAATACAAGACACCAAACATAGAAAGGGAATGACAATTTATATAACATGAGAAACTGGTGCTGATTGTTTGGCCCATGGTTGGTATTGGTAGCAGGTAGCAGATAAGAGAGCGTAGATAGCCTGAGTAGCTCAGTTGGTAAGGCAATGTGGCTCTCAATCCAAGGGTAATTATTCTGAATCCTGCATGAGGTTTAATTTTCTGGATAGAGTAGGTGAGGAGAAACTGTTCCTATCAATGAAAGGATAGAGCATGAGAGGACACAGAGAGCAATCATTGACAAAAGAAGATAAAACAACACGAGGAAAAATGGTTTTTTGGAGCAAGCGGTTAGGATCTGGAATACATTCCTGTGATTGTTGTGGAGGTAGGTTCAACTGAAGCACTCAAAAGGGCATTAATATGGAACATTATCGATGGAAGATCATTGACCTTAAAATTTTAACAGTCTTTGT